CTGAATGTTTCTGAGTTCACAGTCAGCTGTATGAGCTCAGTTCTTCTCCCCTGAATGTTTCTGAGTCCACAGTCAGCTGTATGAGTTCAGTCCTTCAGAACTCGGGACTCGGGACTGCGGGTGGGTCGGGACCTCAGCCCAACAGAACCACGTGCTGGATCTTCACCCCGGTCTCACCACTGCTCTGTGCTCTGCGTCAACTGTACCGGAGGCGGCACTGTCCAGACGGAGCGGCTCTTCTCATTCGAACGTGGTGAGAAAGGGCTTGCGATGATTGATCTCTCAGACTGGATCCACCTGGACCGGCCGGAACCGCCGCCGAAGAGGAGCTGTGTCGCTACAGACGCCGAGATGTTGGGCGACGTTTCTTCCGCTGCAGCAATGAGGACGCGCTCCGAGGGCGAGTCGGCGAGGTGTTGAAGTGACCGCGGTGGTGCCCAGTGCTCTGCCCGGAGGAACTCCTACTGAACGTCTCGTGCTCTGCAGCAGGCAGATCAGCTTTGGCTACAATTTCATCATCCAGATCAACTCTGGGAAAGACGTGTCTCTGCCGAGTATCATCTCCCTTTAGCGGGCTTGTCTTGCGTCTTGAAGTGCTCGGTGTGCGAGGTCACACCGCCGGGACACGTGTGGCATACTAAGGGTGTTAGCAGGGCTTGTGGGAGACTCCTGATCCTGGACTGATTCTGAGTCATTGAGGAGCTTGAAGCACTGGGACCCTGCCAGGACACTCATTACTCTTTATTAACCCCTCTGACTTCACAATGGAGCCGCGCTGCCATTTCCCTTTCCTGTCTGAGGAAGCATGACCCTCCCATCCTCTCTCTTTCACTTGAGCGTGGCCGGTCCGTGTCAGCTCCAGATTTTCCCCCAGTGTAGACTGTGTGCATTTACCCCTCACACACACACACACGCTGAATGTGTCACTTCCCTCTTTCTCTCTCCTTCCCTCTCTCTGACAGAGAGTCGGTACTGAGACAAGCAAGTCTCCTGCCCTGAGAACACAATGATTCTGCCCAAATCAAGACGCTGGATTCCTTTCTGTCTGACCCTCGCACTTCTCTCTCAAGGTAAAAACTGCTTTTAATTATATTAATTCTTGACTTCTATCATTTATTTTTATAAAATAACCTGCTTCAATACAGAGCTGTAGTTATTACTGTTACAATAGGGGCTACAGTCCCAGTACAGGAGAACAGTCCTGTTACACTAGGGGCTACAGTCCCAGTACAGTAGGACAGTCCTGTTACAATAGGAGCTACAATTTTAGTACAGGAGAACAGTCTTGTTACAATAGGAGTTACAGTTACGATACAGTAGAACAGTCCTTTTACAATTTGAACTACAGTCCCAGTACAGTAGAACAGTCCTGTTACAATAGGGACTACAGTCCCAGTACAGTAGAACAGTCCTGTTACAATAGGGGCTACAGTCCCAGTACAGGAGAACAGTCCTGTTACAATAGGAGCTACAGTCCCAGTACAGTAGAACAGTCCTATTACAATCA